TGATGATAAATATTGATGGCAATATTTAACCCGATAGCACTGACCAGGGTAGCCAACGATCCCCAAGCCATCATACATAAGCCAAGTCTACCTAACTGGTAGACAGTGGTTATTATATACAATGTACTACCGATACCAATCAATAGTATACCCATTGATAATAATATCAATGATAATAGACATACATTTTTTGCACTTATAATCATTTTGATTATATGATTTTTGAATAATATTTATTTGGAAAAAAATTAAATTAAATTTTTTAGAAATAAATTTTTATTTTTTTGTTAATTTATATAAAATGTCTACTTTTTTTATTTGTTGACAATATATATATATATATATATATAGATACATAACCATAGATATAAAATAAAATTTATAAACAAAAATAAATACAATAGAAAATGTGTATAAATATACTGTACTAAATAATATAGATAACCTTGATAAAATAAATGCAGTAGATACAGTATAAGTAATTTACTGTATACAACAATAGTGTCATCTATTAAGCTAAAATATATTATATAATATAAATTATATTATATTATAAATACAGATACAGGTATTRAAAATAAATAATATTCAATAATTAATTTTATTAAAATAAAAAATATTTACAAAACTTGATTTAAAAAAAAATTATTATAAAATACATAAATATATTATTTGATTTTTTGTATTGTTATAATAAGTTAAAATAATTTATTAAAAAATATAAAATACACACAAAATATATTTAATTTTTTACAATTTACCAAAAAAAAAATAAAATAAATATAAAATAAGAAAATTTGTAATTAACTTAAAAAAGTCTCAGATTTTTTTTGAATTAATTTTAATTTAATTTACAATAAAAAACAAAAAAATAAAAAAAAATAAAATAAAACAAAAAATAAATTCATTGAATATTATACTATCAATTGAAATACACAATCAATTGGTTGCCTCAGTAGTGGTTAGGTCTACATCACCGCCGGTAACGGGTTTAGTGACACTTTGATCGTCGGTAACGGGTTTAGTGACACTTTGACCGCCGGTAACGGCTTTAGTGACACTTTGACCGACGGTAACAGCTTTAGTGACACTTTGACCGCTGGTAACGGCTTTAGTGACACTTTGACCACTAGTAACGGCTTTAGTGGCACTTTGACCGACGGTAACGGCTTTAGTAACACCACTGATGGCTGTAACGGCTTTAGTGACACTTTGACCGCTAGTAACGGCTTTAGTGACACTTTGACCGCTAGTAACGGCTTTAGTGACACTTTGACCGCTAGTAACGGCTTTAGTGACACTTTGAACGACAGTAACGGTTTTAGTGACACTTTGACCGACGGTAACGGCTTTAGTAACACCACTGATGGCTGTAACGGCTTTAGTGACACTTTGACCGACAGTAACGGCTTTAGTGACACCACTGCTGGCGGTAACGACTTTAGTGACACCACTGCTGGCGGTAACGACTTTAGTGACACCACTGCTGGCGGTAACGACTTTAGTGACACCACTGCTGGCGGTAACGGCTTTAGTAATACCGTCACCGCCGCCACCGATAGGTTTATTAGGGCCAAATAGGACCCGTAAAATCGCCCGAATAAATCTGGCCACTATATGCAACAAAGTACGTATAAAATCAACTAACGGTGTCAGCAGACCGTAGCTAAATGGGACCAACAGTTGCACCGGCAGTACCCGTAGTCCGCCAACACCTGGTTGTAGTCCCAGTCCTTTGAACAATGGTTTCAGTAAATCAATGTATATATCGACTGTCCAATTGTCCAATTGATTACTGCTAACTACCGGTGCCCTAACCATCCAATCTAGTTTGTCTACTACCATAACATCTATATGAGCCGTATCTATGCTAACTGGGTGTGTGTGTGTGTGTGTAGGTGTGGGTGCGATCCAGATATATATATATATATATAAGTAGATAATAAAAACACAATTAGATTAATAGTAATACAATTTTTTTTTATAATTTAAAATAATTAAATTTAATTTTTATAAAAGAAAATAATAACTGCTATTATTATTAATAGTATTAATAATATAATTATTTATTAATTAATTTTTCTATTAATTAAAAATTATAATAATAATTACCAATTAAAACCATAAGCGATACAATAGTTATCACAATTAGTTTATTGTTGTTGTTGGCCATCATTTGGGTTATATTAGTAGTAGTAGTAAACTATTATTTATTTAACTAAATGTTTTGTATTATTTTTTTTAATAAAATTAGCTAGGTATAAAATATTAATAAATATAAAATATATAGTATAATGTTTTATATAATGTTAGTTGTTTTATTTGTTGTAATAATAATAATTATTTTTTTTATATCTATTTGTAAATTACTAAATAAATAAATATTAATTTAAATAAAATTTTTAAATAGCTTATTATTATTATTATTATCTAGTACTGTTAATTATTGAAAAATTTTTGTAATTATTGCATTTAATCATGAATATGTAAATTTTAATTTCAATAACAGTTTTTTTTAACAATATATAACTAAGTATTTAAACGTTTGGTTTTATTTTAAATTAAATAATAAAATATTATATTTTTCTAATTTCAGTCTAATATATGTATATATAAAAAAAAATTAATATTACTAAAAATAAGTTTTTAATAAATAATCAAATATTTTTTTTGTTGATTAAAATATTTATAAAAAAAAATTAATAAATTATTTATTTTACTTATTTTTGGAAATAAAAATTTGTTACAAAAATAAAATTCATTCAAATTATGTATTTATTTATATATATATATATATATTTTTTAAATTTCTAACTTTAAAAAATCAGTAATTTATTAAAAAAAAAATAAAAATTTAAAATCTTAAATATTAGTTAATTAAATACAAATAAAACAACCAATCAATTGGTTTCATCCTCAGTGGTAGAGTTAGGGTTGTCATGATTGACATGTCTAACCACTACCGCCACCGATAATGGCCCAAAACACACGGCTGGCGACATCCATCAAAATGCGGACAAAATTAACTAACGGTGTCAGTACAGCGTAGATCACTGGAAACAATGGCCAGACAAAGGGCCGTAACAGTTGAACAGGTAGTTCGGGTAGTCCCAGTGCACTCAATAATGGCCGCAACAATTGATTCAAAAAATCAATGAACATATCGGCCGGATTGTTGAATTGCAATTGATTGTTGGCCACTACTACCGGTGCTATCATTATATCTACTGGTGCTTCCCGTTTATCTAGTATAGCATCTACATTATGAGCTGTTACCAAGCTAACTGGGTGTGAGTTAGTGTGTGTGTGTGTGTGTGTGTGTGTGTGTGTGTGTGTGACCAGATTTTTTCACCAAATAAAAAAAATTAAATTATTAATAATAAATTTTTAAAAATGTTTAATTGATTTAAATATAATAGTAAAGTATATTTATAAAGTAATAATAATTAATTATAATAATTAATATAATACTTAACATAATAATTAATATAATAATTATTTAATTAAATTAAAGTTAATTATTATTATTTTTAATAATAATTATAATAATATTATTATTTTTTAATAATTATAATAATATTATTATTTTTTAATAATTATAATAATATTATTATTTTTTAATAATTATAATAATATTATTATTTTTTAATAATTATAATAATATTATTATTTTTTAATAATTATAATAATATTATTATTTTTTAGTAATTATAATAATATTATTATTTTTTAATAATTATAATAATATTATTATTTTTTAATAATTATAATAATATTATTATTTTTTAATAATTATAATAATATTATTATTTTTTAATTATAATAATATTATTATTTTTTAATAATTATAATAATATTATTATTTTTTAATAATTATAATAATATTATTATTTTTTAATAATTATAATATTATTATTATTTTTTAATAATTATAATAATATTATTATTTTTTAATAATTATAATAATATTATTATTTTTTAATAATTATAATAATATTATTATTTTTTAATTAAATAATTACCAATTAAAACAAACAGCAAACAAACAATATTTATAATAATTTTGTTGGTCATCATTGAGTTTTAGTGGTAAACTATTTTTGTATATAAGTTTTTTAGTACTTTTTTTAAATAAAAATTAATGTTAAAATTTAAAGTAATTAATAAATATTAATATTTTATAGTATTAATTTTTAAAATGTTAGTTGTTTAATATTTTTACTAATTGTTGTAATTATTTATTAAATAAATAAAATACAAATAATTTTTTTATTATAGCTGTAAAATATCTTATTATCATTATTATATAATTTTTTAATTAAAAAAATTATTTTGTAATTATTTAGTTTGATTAACAATAATAAAATAATTATTTCATTGAATCATGAATGTGTAAATTAATGTTTTTTTTATAGTTATTAGTTAATAATTTTAATTTTGCTTTTGTTTGTTTTTAAATGTGTTATTTCAATTGAGTAATCAAATTTGTAATCAAATATTATTTTTTACTAATTAATAACTAAAAATTCATAATTAAATATTAATATGTTATATATTTTTTAAATATAATTTTAAATATATAAGTAGTTTAAATTAATATTGAATTTTTTTTATTAATTGGCTATTAGTTATTGAACTTTTTAACTAAAATATTAAAACTTAGTAATAATATCTTAATATATAGAAAATAAATACAAATGCCTATAATGTAAATAAAAATTATTGTTGTATTTAAACATAATTAATTAATTTTAAAAAATAACAACAAAATAAAAAATAAAAAATTAAATCATTTATTAATTATAAATCATAAAAAAAACTTATTTATTTTATTATTTTCAAAAAAAAAAATTTTGTCAAAAATAAATAGTTTAAAAATAAAGTTTGTATTGTTTTTAATTTTCTTACTAATAATAATTAAATATTTAAAAAAAAAAAATTAATTTCTAAATATTACTCAAAAAACAACAAAAAATTAATTAATTAATTAATTAAAACAATCAATTGGTTTCATCATCAGTAGTACTGGTGTTTAGGTCGACATCATCGGTAACATCGGTATCAGTGATACCGTCATCAGTGATACCATCATCAGTGGTGATGACGGTAGCCTTAGTAGTGACACTACCACCGCCACCGCCGCCAGTGATGGCCCGCAAAACACTATCCCAGGCCATCGCCAGAAACCGTAAGACTGGCCAAACTAGTTTCACTAGCTGTAGACCATGGCCTGGCAATCCCAGTGCTTTCATCAATGGCTCAAGTAGTTGATTGAGCGCATTATAGAATACCTGATTCGGATCGATTAACGTATTGCTGGCTACCGGTGCTAATACCATAGCATCCCGTTTCTCGATAATATCATCATTGACATCATCAGTATCATCTACAATATGAGCCGTGTCTAAGCTAACTGGGTGTGTGAGTTAGTGTGTGTGTGTGTGTGTATGTGTGTGTTTGTGTGTGTGACCAGATTTAAACCAAATCAAAAAAATTAAATTATTAATAATACAATTATTTTTTAAAAAAAAAAAGTAATATAAATAGTAAACTATTTTTATAATAATAATAATAATAATTAATATAATAGTTAATATAATAATTAGTATAATAATTAATATAATAATTAATATAATAATTAATATAATAATTAATATAATAATTAATATAATAATTAATATAATAATTAATAATAATAATTAACATAATAATTAACATAATACTTAACATAATAATTAATATAATAATTATTTAATTAAATTAAAGTTAATTATTATTATTTTTTAATTAAATAATTACCAATTAAAACAAACAGCAAACAAACAATATTTATAATAATTTTGTTGGTCATCATTGAGTTTTAGTGGTAAACTATTTTTGTATATAAGTTTTCTAGTACTTTTTTTAAATAAAAATTAATGTTAAAATTTAAAGTAATTAATAAATATTAATATTATCTAGCAACTTTTATAATGTTAGTTATTTTATATTTTTTAATTGTTTAAATTATTATTCAATAAATAAAATAAAAATAATTTTTTTTAATTATAATTGTAAAATAGCTTATTATCATTATTATATACTACTGTATTATATAATTTTTTTTAATTTAAAAATTATTTTGTAATTATTTAGTATTGTAGATATAATTGCATTAAATCATGAATTTCTAAATTTATTTTTTATAATAAAACCAGTTAAGAATGCTAGAAAGCATTATCAGAAAAAAAACTTGACGGTATAAAATATTATGTTCGCAAATTAATTGTCATTTATAAGAAATAAACCACATTTATATAAAATTTTAATTTTATTTTAAACATCAAATATTAAATACAAAAGTATATTTAAAATAAGGATATAATAAATGTTATATATAGATTTATGGTTTACAATACATCGTAAATATCTTGATTTGGTTCAACACATTTTGTGCAAACAAAAGTGCTTTGTGTTGTGTTATTATCCTGCTGACAATTTTGATGAAATCTTTCACCACATTGTGTACAGCGAATCATATTATTATTAAATGTTTTCGAACACAAACAATGTAGAGTTGGTATTGTTATGTATTTGGATTTGGCTTCGGTATTTCGTGTAATTGGCAATGAAATTTGTCCTGATTCATACCATCTTTGTAATCTTTGACGCAAATTGAAACTATTTTCAGTTAGTCTTATTGAACTTGGATTAATACCAGAAATATTTAATGCCATATTCATTAAAGCATAAACACCACAATCATTAGAATTTGGCTGTTTTGTTACTCGCCAAAATTGATATTTTAATTGAGGTGTTATGTCGAGTTGTCTTATATGTGCACTTGCGACGCGTACAATTAATTCGCTAACAGATAATGCGTTAACCGAATCATAAACATTACATGTAATTGTTGTTGATGATGTATATTGAATATTGATGTAAATCCAATGATTACCAGTGTTAACAATATGGTGTAATTCTTGTCCAACATTAGTGAAATAATACTTAGGTTTTAAATATAGATAATTTTGTTGAAAACGATAAGAAGTTTGAAAATTAAGTAAGTTATTATTATTTGCTTGATTGCTAAAAATGACAGCCATTCCATTTGTAATTAGAGAATCGTTTAGCCATCCACTGTTTTCTGATCCATCAAGTAATCCTAAATCACTTGTTACAAGATCTTCATGTAAATAAGTATTTTTTGCCTTTGAAAGCCAAATATTATTTGGTAATTGATGATCTTGTAATTGCGTGTGCTTTTCTATATCTTCTTGTGATAGTCTTAAAGCAGTTATTTTAGAATCTTTCACTTTTAAATAATCTTCAATTGTTTCTTGAGATAATTTAGTTAGTACAACTGAAGATTCTTTAATATCATCTAATCGGTTGTCTTTAAATGTAGCAGCAAAATGACTTTGTTGTGATATTGGTTTTAATGTATTATTAAGATCGTTTTCTTCATTATTTGATGAGTAACTTGATTGAGAACTAACGTCAGTAACACATTCGCTATCGCAAACATCAATCCAAAATGGTATGTGATAGCTTCCATAAAAGTCATACTGATAAATTTTATCATTTTTATTACTTGTAAAAATATAATCAATTTGATTTCTATAATTAGTTGTAACTATATCATCTGATATTAAATATGTCCAATTATATGTTTTATTAGTTAAATTAACTAATGTTTGTCCGCTTTTAGTAGAATAATCAACATTGAAATCGCCACATATTATAATATGTTGAAAATTTGATGTCTTATTAGAAATGTTATTAAGTATATTTTTGAGAGTATCAAATGGAAGACCAGATGATAAATACACACCAACAACTGCAATGTTATAAAATTTGACAAAAGAGATTTCATAATGCCAAGTGGGTTTGTCATTACTATCCATGACAGAGCAAACAAATGCTGCATTAATAGACTTCTTAGCATATATAGCAACGCCTCCATTTGCAATTGTAGAATTTTCTAAGTAAACATGGCTTATAGCTGACAGTTCACCAATATTAGGTAATAAATTGTATTGACTTTTTATTCTTGTTTCTACTAAAATTAGCAAATCAGATGCCAATATGTTGTCATCACTTTGTAAATCTAAATGATTTTTTCTAAATGACTGAACATTTAAGTAAGTAATTGAATAATCATTTTGTACTGATAGAGATAAAGGTTTAATTAATAATTGAAGTTTTGCTTCAGTTTGTAATCTTTGTATTTCATTGAAGATTTCTCTATCACTTTGTTTTGGCTTCAAATTTTCAATTAATTTAAAATCTCCATCCAAGTATAATCCATTAATTGATGTTACTCGAGAACATGCAGTATAAATTAATTCTCGAGGCAAATGTTTAGTTAAATTAACAATAACTCGTTCAAATGTTGACCCCTGACTTTTATGTATTGTCATAGCTTCACAACACACTAATGGAAACTGTGTACGAGTTACGTTTACATTAAGAAATCCACCAATTTGAAAATCTTTCTTTATTGGTACAATCGGTGTCCAAGTCTCTGGAATAAAATTTAGTTTAATATATTCTTTGTACTTTCGGCGAATTTCAAATCCAGAATTTTTTGGAAATTGTATCCATATTGTTTTAATATTTGCAGTATATTTATCTTTATCTATTCTCATTAAAGTACCATAAGCTCCATTAAATAAACCATCAGAGACATCAACATTGCATGTAATCATATATTTTAATCCAATTTTAAAATTTATATTACTCATTAACCCATTTGTATCTTGATATGTCATTTTTTCAATTTTTTCAATAATTTTTTGTCTGTCACTTATATTTTTATATCCTTTTATATCATCAATAGCTTTATTATCAATTAATTCGCCAACTTTTTCTTCGACTGCTTTTGAATTATGTAATGCTACCTCATTATTAGTATAATATAAACAAACTGATTCATTTTTGAAAGAATCTTTAACATTATAGCGAGATTTAAGTAAATTGATGTCACTTTCAGTTAAGGCAGATTTTGCAAGTCTATTCAAACAATCAACAAAATCAATGTCATTTTTTTGTCTCATCACTATTGATAATTCATATGATCTGAATTCTCTCCATAAATAAGGACCGATTATTGCGTTATATCCATCTTTTGATTCTTTAAATGGCCACCCACCACCAACTGGTTTTGCTTGATGAAGATCTCCAATCAACAGTATTGAAATTCCACCAAATGGCAATGTATTTTGAAATATTTCTTTTAGTCTTTTGTCGATCCAATTAAATATTTTATTACTGCAAAGACTTATTTCGTCTATAACTAATAGTTTTAAATCTTTTAGTTTACAGCGCATTGTATTTGATGTATCGGCAGACAATTTATTCAAATTTCCACCAGATATCTGTTGATGGGGAAAAGCTAACGCAGCATGTAATGTTATTCCATCAACATTCCATGCTGCTTTTCCAGTGTATGCTGTTATCAATATTTTAATTGAATCCAAATTTGTTCCAGGTATAGTGTTTATAAAACGAAGTAATGATTGATAAATACATTTGAGCACATGGCTTTTACCAACTCCAGCGGATCCCATTAATATTATATTAAATGGAATTTTTCCCGTTTTAAAGCGATGTAGAATATCCATAGTAATGTTGCGTTGTTCTATATTTAATGATCTCATCATTTTTCTATATTCTTCTTCATCAATTATTTTTGGAACAGATATCCTTTCAATATAAGATTTGGATATGTTTTCATTTGACTTGTCAGATTCATCAAAAATGTTAGCAATAGGAGATCTAATATTTAAAATTTCATGTTCTTTAGAAATTTCTTCTTCCTTAGAATTTTCATTTATATCGTTTTCATCATTTTCTTTTTCATTATCATTGATGGCGTCAAATAATTCTGTTTCTAATAATTGTGGATCAAATAGTTTTAAATTTTCTTTTATTATTTCGATATTGGATTCGTATAATTCTTTGCATTTGTCTTCTTGAAGATCATTTTCTTCATCATTCCAATGAAAAAACAACATTACCATTGAACGATAATAATTAATTGGATCATTTTGTTTATTATATTTTTTGTAGCGAATGATTTTCATTTTTTGTCTTTTTTTCATAAATCCCATTTTATTATCAAGGACTATAATATTTGGCAATGAACTTTTGACATCACTTTCCTCGTTAGATTCATCATCGTCAAAGTCAATTTTATCTGATTCGAGAATTTTTGAAGATATTGACTTGCAATAGTTATATGATGCTGCAAATTCAGCTAAACACAAATTATTTACTCGATCAATAATAACTGGTCTTGCCATATAATGATCTATAAGTCCTTTTATTGATATATCTTTCGAATCACTTGGCAATTCTTCTAAATCTTTTCGGGATTTCAATATTTGAAATCTTTCATTTGGGGGGCCATTATTAATAAATATTGTAACTCTTGACATTCGAGAAATATCCATACTCAATGCGTGATAAACAGCTTCTTGAGCCGATATTTCTGTTCCATTAACTAAAGTGTTGGCTAAATGACGTACTTGTTCTTGAATTGTTTTGTTTCCTTTCTTTGCTTCTTCTGATGCTTGTTTTAATAATAGCGACATTCCACGCATAGATTTACTTATATAGGCACATAGATATTTAACACACGCATATGGATGAAGGCAATATTGTATATCAATATTAGCACGCCATAATTTAAACCAAATTAGATTGTATGCGTTAATATTAACCGCATTTGGTTGACGTTTTAAAAATATCTCTTCGCGTTTGATAGAAGATCTGATGGCATCAATATAATCTGAATGTGACAATTTGGTCATTTTAAGAAAATCGTCAAATGACATATAATTAACAATATTTTTGTTTTCTTTTTCATCAAATGAATTTAACAATTTTTGAATAGAATCAAAGTTGTCTTTATGTTTCTTTTTGTCT